ATTATCGACAATATATGCTTGTACTGCATCTCTTGACTTTATTCGTGGCCAACCTCTAACATGTCCCCGTGGTAAGGTTTTTTTATTAATTCTATTTAAATTGGAGTTTTGCTCTAAATTGTTTTACTATCTTAGAGTACGATCCAAAATTTTATGTGATACCTGGGATCGACGGGCCGCTTAACTTGACATGCCAATATCATATTAAAGTAGCTGTTGCATCATGGATAAATGCAGGGATTATTGCATTTAGCTTTATAGTTTATTTTTTATTCATACCGATAGGAATACTAGTCCACGAAGCAGGAATAAGAATCAGGGAAAATATTAAAAATGAATGGATATATAGGAAGGAATGTTTTGAAGCTTGGAAGTTGCAAAAAAAGTATAGGGAGGAGAGAAGACGTGGAGAAAATATGAGTAGAGTTGATGGCGAATAAAATGTCATAAAAGACATAAGTAGGGTTAATGGAGAAGTAAAAAATGAAATTAATATGAATGGAAGTTAGCGATGATATTTAATTATAACGTCATGAATACATAAAATTTTGTATTGAACATAAATCTCAATTTTTATCACATATAAAAAGCATATTTCTTGTACTTTAAAATAAATTTTCACGTTATTGTATCTTATATACTTTTACATTTGACATATTTCTTGTATAATCTTTAGCCATGACCAGTTTTCACTGAGATCGGTGAAGCGACAGACTCGCCGTTTTAGGTCCAACAATAGTAAAGTATAGTCGAAATGATTTATATAGTGTTGTGGGAACAATCGGGATAGGAACGCGATAATTGGTAATAGCATGTACTGGGTAAACACGCGTCAGGAAGGCATATAAATAGGTAGTTTATGTAGTTTGGAGCAGAGAGAGTTCTAGATCCACAATTTTAGAGTTTCGTTTTGGAACACTTGTTTTACACACTCACGCTTTATTGAAATAAATGCTATCTCGCTTTGCACAATAAACAAGATACATTCTTTAAAGTGTACACGAAGTTCACTCCACTACATTAAAGCAAACGCCTTTAAGAAGGAAAAGACGCGATGTTACCTTTTGCACTGTAAGAGTGTCACTTGTAATCTTGAGACGCGTCTAGAGGAAAAGATGGTCAAGAAGATATTAGCAAGTGCGCAAGTCGGCCAAATTGTAACCGCCTCGGAATTAAAGCCTTACCTTATTTAGTGCCGAAATCCAAGCGTTCGGACTATCGTCACACGAAGAGTGAACCGTTTTAGCGACAGACTCGCCGGTGACGATAACAATAGTTAATATCTTTTATTTAATTTTACTATGGAAAAATTATGTGCATAAGTGTGATTGAATTTTTAACCAACTTCTAACATCTACTCTCAGAAATTTTATAATTTGGACTTGGTTATAGTTAACTAAGATAGTTTGATTAGTTGTTTGTTGTAAATGTTAATTTGTTATATAAAAAATTGTATAATAGTTTGGGTAGTGTTTAATGAAAATAATGCTATTGTTTTAAATGCTTTTTATTAATTCTTTAGAGAATAACTTGAACAAAATCATTATATTTTAACCTTAAGGTCTACATTCTTTAAAGGAGTTAAATGACTTTTCACAATATACTTCAAAAATTTCCATATTAAAGTATGCATTATTTAATTAAATTTTTTAATATTTGTATATCTATTTATTTATTTATATTTTTACTAACAAAAAATTAACAATTGATATATCTAAAAACTGAACAAATAAATAATTTATCCCATTCTAAAAATTTTTTAGTTATTAATAATTGAAAAATCACTTGTAAATGAAGTTATAAATAAAATGTGAATTATTATATTAAATATTTACAATAGTCTAAATTTTAAATTAAGTTTATTAATTTCTTCAAATATATTGTATAAGACTAAATTTACTGTATTTACAATCCTGATCATAAGTATCTGTATTCCTTTTAAAAATTCAAATCTAATCCCATTATTTTAAAAATGTTAGAACAGATAGTTTATTGCAATTCCTAATTCTTTAATTTTTTTCAGAATTTTATGATTGCTAGAACAAATTATAGATGAGAAACAAATTTTAGAGATTATTTTTTTCACTGAATTTTTTAACTTGAAAATTATTAAAAAATTATCTATATATCAATAATTTATATAATCAAAAATTCTTAAAAAATTATATATTAAAATCTAGGTCCTTTTATATTATTGACAAAAAATTTGACATATTTTGATAAGACTACTGTATTGTCAAAAATTTGATTTCTAAATTTTAAATTTGCCTAATTCAAAAAATAACTTTTCAAAGTATAGTTTTTATCAATTTCACTATATAATTTATTAATTAATAATATTTTTTATAATAAATTATATAGTGAAATTGATAAAAACTATACTTTGAAAAGTTGTTTTTTGAATTAAGCAAATCTTGACTAAATTTAGTTATGCTGTATAAAAATGAAATCTCTAGTCTTCTTGATAATTGTAAATTAAAAACATATTAAAATAAGAAAAATTATATAAGGAAATATTTCTGGTCTAACTTCTATAAAAGTCTATAGTGTCATAT